CCCTCCACGTAGCCTCGGGCCTCCTGCCCCCGCGCCCCTCTGCCTCGCCTCGGGCCTCCTGCCCCGCGCCCCTCTGTCCTCCATCTGCGCCCCCTGCACCGCCTCCTGCGCCCCTCTCCCCGGCCTCGGGCCTGCCCCGCGCCCCTCCACCTGGCCTCGGGCCTGCCCCGCACCCCTCTGCCGAGGAGCGAAAGCCGGGTCCCTGGGACCGGAGAAGGGGGCGATGCAGATGGGGCGTGGAAACCTGGCTGGGCCAGATCCTGCTCCATGCCTGGGTTTGCCCCGGCTGCCAGCAGACACCCCGTTATCCCCCTGGGGCCCCAACACTGGGCTACAAATTCGGGAAGAACGACTTCTCCTCCGGCCCTGGCTGTTCTGGGTGGCATGGGGGGGGCCCTGGGGGTGGTTAGGTGACCAAACAAACACCTGCCCCTCCCCCCACCGTCGGTGACTCACAAGGAGACAGGCGCTTCCTGCAGCCCGAGCTCAGACCCCAAACTCTTGAGAGAGGAGCAGGACACAGCACACGCGCCCCTTGGCATCTCCCCGCCTGGCCCCTGCCTTTGTGGATCTTCCCATTCTTAGACTCCCGGCTCTCCCTGGGCACTGCAGGGAACCAAGGTGCCTGACTCAGGCTTTGTGGCTCAAGGATTTTCCTGTCACTTTCTAGAACCTACAAGTTAGGAGCTGCGACCATCTGCATTGCAATGCCTGAGTCTGCTGAGGGTTCGGGCCCTGGTGACCTGAGAGCGCCACCGCTCCAAAGCACTCAGGCCACATGACAGCCACCTTCTTGGGCTGGGCATTGAAATACAGAAAAAGCAACCTGTGTGTGTGGATGGGGGCCTGAGGAGCCTGCGAGGAAGGAGCAGAGCCCTAGGAAAGAAGTTCATAAATAACCAGGGATTGACTTGACCTGCAAACTCTTTGGGGGAGGGGCTGTCTAGTGTAAAAATGTCATTCGGAAGGCCAAAAAAGAATTTGAGGAACAGCTAGCCAAAGATTCAAAAGTAATAGCAAAATCTTATCAACTACATCAGAAGCAGGAATCCTGCTAAACAACCAGTGGGGCCACTGGACGATCGAGATGCTAAAGGACGATAAGGCCATTGCGGAGAAACTAAATGAATTCTTTGCATTGGTCTTGACGGCTGAGGATGTGAGGGAGATTCCCAAACCTGAGCCATTCTTTTTAGGTGACAAATCTGAGGAACTGTCCCAGATTGAGGTGTCATTAGAGGAGGTTTTGGAACAAATTGATAAACTAAACAGTAACAAGTCCCCAGGACCAGATGGTATCACCCAAGCGTTCTGGAGGAACTCATATATGAAAAGCAACAGAGGGTCCTGTGGCACCTTTGAGACTAACAGAAGTATTGGGTCATAAGCTTTCGTGGGTAAGAACCCCACTTCTTCAGATGCAAGTAATGGAAATCTCCAGAGGCAGGTATAAATCAGTATAAACCTCGTTATCTCCATACTGATTTATACCTGCCTCTGGAGATTTCCATTACTTGCATCTGAAGAAGTGAGGTTCTTACCCACGAAAGCTTATGCTCCCAATACTTCTGTTAGTCTCAAAGGTGCCACAGGACCCTCTGTTGCTTTTTACAGATTCAGACTAACACGGCTACCCCCCTGATACTTGACATCATATATGAAAGTGAACTTCTCTACCTATGGTCATGGCTGGCCTGGTTGACTTAGTCTTGTCTTCCTGCAAGGTATCATCGAATCTACAGGCCTCGTACTCTGTTTTATTCCTGCTGATTTTCATGCCATTTCTTTCAAGCAGGCACCTCTGTCTTGCTAAATCTTCCTCCACTTGCTCTTTGCTCTCCCCTGTGAGTGCTATATCATCTGCAAAAACCACGCACCACGGTGCACGCCGCATGTTTTGTGTAAGTGCATCGAGCGCCAACGGGAACCAAAAGGGGCTACTGTGGATTCTTGATGTGCTCTGACTCTTACTAAAAACTGTTCGGTTTCTCCACGTGGCCTCCTGACCGTGGTAACCGCACGTACCGACGGGGCGTGTCCCAGACATGTCTGATGTAGTCTTCAGGCATCGGTTTCGTTCTCATACACCACCAAATGACTTCTCTTGGCACGTGGTCATAAGCCTGCCCAACATGGCAGAGTATTGTCCGCAGGGTTTCTACTTTTCTCTGTATTTTTTCCACAAGCAATCGTAATGCAAAGAGAACATCCATTTGTTCGGTTCCGGTAGAACAGCTCCTAATTTGTTGGGTACATTTGTGAAATGGCTAGAATGAGTGGGACAAGGTGGGTGAGAGAAGCTTTTTGAAAGCGAGGAGCTTTCGAGCCACACAGAGCTCTTACTGAGTGGTGCATTTTGGGGATGTAATTGGAGCTCCCAGGTGCCCCCAAGCCCATTCCCCAGAGTGTCAGCACCCAGCCTGCACCCACTGGTCTCCTTCCTGGGCCTGGTGACCGATGGGGATGGTTACAACTGGGGAGGTGGCGACCGAGCAGCTAAACAAAGCAGCGGTGCCGTCTGCTCCAGAGCCGCTCCCTGCCCTTCCTGCGGGGCGAGGCTGGCGCAGAGATGGCACTGACTGATCCACTGCCTGGGTGCAGGGAGTTCCCTGAGGCTGCCTCCGGTGCTGGGCCTTGTCCCCCTGTGTGTGTTGGCCGGGAAGAGGATGCGCAGGACGGCCTGAGCCCGGTGTTTGGTGTGGGGTCGTCGGGAGCCGGGGGACCGAGTGCTTTCCACTACCGGGGGTCAGTGTCGCTGGGGCGAGGTCTCCAGCAGGGACGAGTGATCTGGGGGACCCCTCTGGGGTGCTTTGAAGGGGCCCGATTCCCAGAGGTGGGTGCTCAGCACCCTTTGGAATTCACCCCTCCTCCGAGGGGTGTTTGCCCTGCAGCGGCTCATCACCGCGGAGTCTTGGCCCCACGTGGGGGGCTGCAGCCCAGGGAGGGGAAGTGAGCTGCCCTGGCCACCCCGGCACAGACCTAGTGCTAGGGCCACCGGCTGTGCGGTTCCCGGAACAGCCCTGGGGCAAGCCAGAGAGCACCCCGAGTCGTGGGGCCTGGCCTGTGCCTCATCCTAGCCGATAAAGCTGGGCTGAGAACCCCAGCCCCTGGATGAAAGGGCAGCGCTCCCCCTGCTCTGATCCCTCTCCCTCTGTGTCCCTCCCAGGCTGGTCCGTGCCCGCTGCCGGAGGAAGGGCTGGCAGGAGGTGTCGGTGCTCTGCATTATTTACAGCTTTGTGGGCAGCATGTGCAACACGATTGGGGCGCTCCTCGCCAAGCAGCTCGCCATCCAGGTACGCAGGAGACGTCCGGCCTGCCCCTGCAGAGGCCTGCAGATCCTGGAGGTCGGGCATGGGACAGCCCCCAGCCCAGCCCCTACGGCCAGTGCAGGATGTTGGCTAGGGCTTTGGTAGGGTGACCAGAGGGCAAGTGTGAAAAATCGGGACACGGGGTGTGTGGGGGGGGGTAATAGGAGCCTATATAAGAAAAAGCCCCCAAAATCGGGACTGACCCTATAAAATCGGGACATCTGGTCACCCTAGGCTTTGGCCATGGTGGTGGCGCTCCCTGTGCGCCCCTGGGCCCAACAGAGCACAGAGTACTGCCCCAAACCCCTCAGCCCTGGCCAGGCACAGCTGTCCCTGGGCGCCTTGCCTGGGGGCTGGAGGGGGCAGGTTCCCTGGCTGAGTTCTGTCCCTTTGTTCCACCAGATGCCACGGTCCCCCCACCACGAGACCCCGTCCCAACTCCCCTGAGGTAACCGCAATCCCAGGAGGCCAGCACAGATCCAAATGAGAGCTCTGATCCCTGGCAGCCCCCCGCCATGCGGGCAGCCAACTCTGACACAAGCCCCCACACCCCCTCAGCCCAGCCATGGCTGCCTCAGGCCCCCTGCTGAGGAGGGGACTCTGGGGTGAGGATAACGCAGGCTCGGCCCAGCTACCTTTCCCTTGTATACTGTGCTGGGGGCCGTGTTCGTTGCCTTGCCCTGCCCTGCCCAGCCAGGCCTGGCCCCACAGAGACACCTCTGGAGGGGACGGTGGCAGGGAGTGGGGCGGTACATGGGCAAGGGTCCCTGCCCCATGCAGAAGGGGGGCCTCAGCCCCCCACTGATGATATGGCTCTTTAAGCCTCGGTGCCACTCTTTGCTGCACCTTCTTCCCCTTGACCCGGAGCAGTGGTTCCGGGGCGGGCGTCTCCCTGTCTGAGTCACTGGAGCCCGGAGGCAGGGGTTGGGTGAGGCTCACACTCCCCACCCTGTTTGTCTTGTTCCTCAGGGCTGACAGAGGAACAGCTGCTTCCCTGAGGTGAAGTCATGAACAGCCAGAGCCGGTCTGGGGGGGCCCTGGGCCCAGCCTCGCTCACTGCCGGTGTCTCCTCAGCGCAGGGCGATTGGTCACTCCCAGCATTCACGGCTGGCGCTCGGGGTATGTCCGCACTGCAGGCAGACGCCTCTGGCTAAGGGGCTGTAGAATTGCGGGGTCCATGTTCGGGCTCTGGGACCGTCCCCCCTGCGGGGTCTGAGGGCTTGGGCTGGAGACCGAACATCTACCCTGCAATTAAACAGCCCCTTAGCCCGAGTCTGCTGGCCGTGGGTGTGTAATTGCTGTGGAGACATACCCTCAGAGGCCGCGATAGCTGCATTAGAAAGAGACACAAGGAGACACCCAGTCCTTGTCCCTCCCAGACAGACCATCCATCCCAGTGTATCTGGCCTGGGGAAGATGCGTTCGTTCTGTGAGCATGCTAAGTTCTGCCCCTCTGGCTCAGCCAGCAGTCCCTTCCCCGAGTGGATGGGGCAGGCGGGATGGAGGGGACCCAGGAGTGCTGCTGCCTTTAGTTCGGCCGGGCTGCGTGGGACTTTGCTCTGGTTTAACCTAGGGTGACCAGATGTCCCGATTTTATAGGGCCAGTCCTGATTTTTGTCTTTTTCTTATATAGGCTCCTATTACCCCCGCCCCCGTCCCTTTTTTTCACACTTGCTATCTGGTCACCCTAGTTTAACCGGTGGTGGGATTCTTAAGCCCAGCTAGTGAAAACGTGCGCGATGTTCTCTTCTCCCACATGGGGGCGCTGCAGGCCCTGACTTGTGCGCACCGTCCCCAGAGCTGGGCGTGCAGACGGGCTGCGTGTGTGGACACACGAACCCCCCACGGCTGCAGGGGAAGGAGGCACGTCAGAGCTGGAGCGGCTGTGCCTTTACCTGCTCGGAAAGGGGGCTGTACGCCACGTGCTTCCTGAGCTGAGCGCAAACAGGCGAGCACGGCAGGCCAGCCCCATTGCTGGGGGGGAGAACAGCCTCACGGCACTGCCCTGCAGGGCAGTTGTCCCCACTCCCAGCCCCTGGGCTGATGCTCAAAATGGAACAGCCCCTGCAGGTTTTTCACGGCAGGGCTTGCTGGGGCAGGCGGGCTCTGTGTTGTGCCCCCGGCGCTGTGTGCGCCTTAGCACAGGGACGGTTGGCGCAGCACTGCCACCAGCCACTGTGGCAGAGGGTTTGGAAGCTGTTTGAAAAAATTCCTTTTGTGCTTAAATTCTCCAGGCAGGTTCCTGGGGCCGGGATGAGTCCCTGACCCTGTCTGACCTCGCTGCAGAAGTTCCTCTCACTGGGAGTTCTTGGGGGGGTGCAGGGCACTCTTGGGGGCGTTGGACCAGACTCTGTGTGCTGTGGCCAAGAGGCTGTCTGCAGCGGGGGCTGAGAAGACGGATACTGTGCACTTCACTGGCTTATCTGGAGTAAAATCTGAACTCTGTGTCATACTCCAGGGTCTGCCCCTGCCTGGCCTGGGAGCTTCGGAGCCCACTGGGGTGACGTTCGGCACCATGGGATGTCGGCCAGGCTGGGAGTGACAGAACTCCAAGCACTATAGCTCAGGAGAGCCACCCCAGCCGTGAGCCGGTCACCATGCCAGGCCTTCGTCTGCCCCTAACAGTCAGGTGCTGGCTCTCCCAGGGACGCCGGGTGTCGGCTAGATGGGCAGAGTTTAGTTCAGTCCAGAGCCTGCTGTGGGAGCTGTCTGCCCCATTGCTCTGGTCTAGGCTCTCTGCAGCAGGCCCTGTCTCTGCCATGGCCCATGACGCTGTTGGTCTGGGGGAGGCCCAAGGAGCGCTGGGGTCACCCGAAGGCTGCCACAGAGATCTGTGCTGAGAGCTGGGGACCGGAAGTCGGGACCCATCTGCTCTGTCCCAGCTCTGACACCTGCTGGCTATGTGACCTTGGCCAAGCTGTTCACCTCTCCGTGCCAGGGCCATGCGCAGAAGGAGGCTGATATCCTCCTCTCAGGGCTGTTGAGAGACTGGTCCTCACTGTCCATAAAGCGTTTCCCCATCCTGGGATCGTGGCTCTGATCCGATTGGTCTCTCCGCAGGTCTTCATAGGGGCGTACATGGCTGCTGTTGACATCATTCACTTCCTGCTGACTCTCTTTCCTGTCTGTGCGTCTGACCCCAGACCCACACCAGGTATGTGCCCGGCGGGTCACCCTGTCCTGAATGGCGGGGGCGGGGTGGAACCCCAGGCGATAACCTGGCCCCTCCCCAGACTAGATGCATACAGGAATGCTGGGGAGCCCAGCGTGCTACAGGGGATGAATACGTTCCAGGCCACACCGAGGGCTGGGGAGATGAGTGGTGAGAAGCATGCGGCTGGGAGGGGGATTTGGGGAGAAGCCTGGCTTGGAAGGCTGGATGCTGAGGGGGTGGGGGCTCGGAGGGGGGCTGGGCGATGGGGGGGTGGAGGCTGGGCTCAGGGAGGCTGGGTGCTGGGCAGTGGAGAGAGAGGGCTGAGTGCTGTCTGGGGGGGAAGTCTGGGTGCTGGGGGGGTGGACTGGGCGTGGAGGGGGTGGGCTGGTTGCTGGGGGTGGAGGGAGAGGGCTGGGTGCTACCTAGGAGGGGGGGTTGGCAGGGGTAATAGAGGGCTGGGAGACGGGCAGGATGGGAGGGGGTGAGGACAACGCCCCCACTCCCAGCACAGCCAGTGACCGGGGGCAGGCGAGCTCTTGGGGGACGAGGATCCCGTTTTGGGGAGATGTTCTCCAGCAGCAGAGGCCGGTGCTGCTGAGGACCCGGTTCCTACGCTGAGCTCTCGGCTGGTGCTTGCAGTGCGGGGCCGGTTCCCCGACAGGCTTTCGTTGTGTCTCCTGGCTGAGACTTTGTCCTGCGCAGCTCCGCCCGGCAGGAGGAAGAGGAGGAGAAGGCAGGTGAGGAGCAGCCTCCTTGCCCTCGCTCTGCCCCTGTGCACGGGCCCTGGCTGGTACGTCCTGGCGATGGCCACCTCATCCTCCCCCAAGGAGTTCCACGGTGCACAGAGGAGACTGCTCGGGACGGCACTGCAGGTAACGCAGCTCCCACCCTGTGTCCCTCTGGGCTGGCAGGGATCCAGCCAGGGCAAAGCTCCCAGCGGCAGCTCCTTCGGTGCAACCCCTCGCAGAGCCTGCTGGGGCCGGGGGGAGCCTGCCTGAGGGAGCCCCGGCCAGGAGCTGCGTCAGGCCGCCGGCACTGAGGTGTGGTTTCGCCCGCTGAAGTTAGAGGCCATTAGGCTCACAGACATCAGAGTTGGGAAAGGGGGTGCTGCCAGGCCCGGGGGCGCAGGGGCTTGTCTGCGCTAGAAGGAACGGGGTGAGGCAGCACGCAGCCGTGTGTGTCGGCTGGCTGGGGGCCGGACGGGCCCATCAGATTCTGTCTCTAGCTCCCGTCGTTCTGGGAAGCGACGCTGCTCTAATGAGCTACCAAGGGGCGAAGCTGCGGGGCTCCAGAGAGCCCTAGAGACGCAGGGGAAGGTTTGTCCCATTGTGCACAGCAGACGCTAGGCCTGGCGTTTTCAGGCTGCCCTGGTGGCCCTAGAGAACGGGAGCCGTGGTGGGTCCAGCAGTCGCGGGAAGGCAGGTGCTGTGCGGGAGCTGACAGCGTGTCCGGGCGGATTAGCAGATGGGGGTGACACGCAGTGCCTGGCGGGCCCCTCTGCTGCGCAGCGGGGAGTGTCCTGGGGGCTCCCAGTGGCTCAGGATTTCTTACCCTCCCGTTCCGCAGGAGAACACGGAAGTGCTGGGCTTTGCGCTGGGGATGCTCGCTGCGCTCGTCGCCTTCACGGTCAGGATCCCCGCGCTGTCTGGAGCGGTAAGTGGGCTGGCCGGAGCTAGGTAACGCGGAGCCCAGCACAGGGCGGGGGCCCTGGTGGCCGTGCAGTGCATGTGGCTCCATGGCCTGGGGACAGCGGGGGTGCACAGCAGGGGGCACAGCCTGTGAGCTAGCTCCAAACTGGGGTGTGTCACCCCAGCCACGGCGCAGGGCTGCAGCCACAGCCCCGCGGGGCCTCTTGCCCTGGTGCAACAGGGCCCTGGGCCAGTGTAGATATGGGTCTTGTGGCCCCTCCCGGCACGCTGGGGCATGGCACTGTCTCCTGGACAGCCTCTCCCCGCGCGCTCATGTGCCAGGGGGAGTCCCACCCACTGTCTTCCCCCGGCCCGGGCCTCCCTTCCCAGCCTGCCACCGTCTCTCCGCAGCGCTCACTCCTGCCCTGGGGCTGTCGCCCCGACGCTCCGCGAGGCCCAGGGACTCTTATCCCACACCCTGTCCCCCCTGCTCCCCCAGTCTGTCTGTCTGTCTGTCTGCTCCGACCGCGCTGCCCTGCAGCAAGACTCCTCTGTGGCCTGCGCCACACTTACAGCACAAAAACAACAAGGAGTCCGGTGGCACCTTAAAGACTAACAGATTTATTTGGGCATAAGCTTTCGTGGGTAAAAACCTCACTTCTTCGCATGCATAGCCTTACAGCACAGTCTGTCCCTGACGGACCCGAGGGCCTGAGCCCGCCCGTGGCAGCAAACCGGTTGTGTCCATGGGCCTGCTCGGGTGTGAGTGTTTGCTGGCTCAGGGCTGGGCCACGGTCCCTGCTGCTGCCTGGCAGGCCTCGCTCGCCCTAACCAGGGTTTGTTCTGCCCCTGCTGCAATAGCAGCGCGATCCGGGATCGACCGGGCAGCTCCCTTGGGGACCCAGACCGAGGGGTTTACCTGTGCCCCTTGCCGTGGGCTCAGACCCCAGGTCGGTAAGGCCCCTGGGGGGCGGAGCATGGCAGCATTCACGTTGCCCTTGCAGGGTGGTGGCCTAGAAGGAGGCAGTGCCCCTGACCCCCGTGTCTGCGTGTTTGCACAGAGAACGGTATTTGGCTGCAGAGGCAGATACACGTGGCTCGGGACACGGACCGGGCTGCAGGGAAGGCCGGGCCAGATGTCAGCTCCCAGCCTGCAGACAGCTGTGCGCAGTCGCTGTGCTTCCACTGCTGAGTGCACTGCGCCGTATCTGCTGCAGGGTGTTGCCTGGCGAAGCAGGGACTGGCCCTGCTGCCGTGGGGGGGGATCGGCTCGCGCGGATTCAGGGAGCCAGTCTGACCTTCACCTGCTTTCTGCAGTGCAGAGGGAGGCTGTCTCCAGTGACCCAGCTCTGGGCCAGCGTCTCCTCGGCCCTGGCCAGCGTCCTGTATGCAGCGGCCATTGTGACTCACGACCAGCGGCCCGCGTACTTCGTGAGAGCCATGCCCTGGCTCCTGCTCGCCCTGGGCTCTGCTGCGCTCGACGTGGCTGTATCCTTTCCCCGCCGGCTCCACGGACTGGCACGGGGGGGTTGGAACAGAGGCCGAGGGCCTGAGCACCGCTCGTCTCCGGGGCACGACGCAGGCTGCAGAGGTTAGGCCCCTGGGTCTGATGGGCCCTGAGGGCTGCGGATCCTGCCCAAACCCCACGCCACTCTGGCCAGCTTGGTGGTGTGGGCTGGGCATTGTCCCTGAGCCAGTGCTGTGTAGCTCCCTTCCAGGCAGCCCTGTTGTGGGGCTGAGGTGGAGCCGGTGTTCCCCTGAGACGCCGTCACTTCCTTAACCCTGGGAGCTCAGATCGCCTGTCTGTCCTGCTTGATGAAAAGCCAGATGGGCCAGCGGCTGGGCCTTGTGGCTGAGGCAACAGAGACCCCGGCCACGTGGGTGCTGCTGGCGCAGGTGGAGGAGGAGGAGGAAGAGCCGAAGGGAACCGAAGAGGAAAAGGTTTCTCCTCCTGTCTCTGGGTTCTCCCCTGCCCTGCACCGTGTGCTGCCACTTGCCCTGCAAGGGGAGACGGCCAGGGGCCGGGGTCCCACCCCGCAGTGCCTTGCCGAGGCATTAGGAGGGGCGTGAGGCCCTTGCAGGGACGGCTGTGCCTGCTGTAGAGCTCGCTCCTGTGCTGCCCGCAGGCGGTTGGGAGCCTGCCGAGGATTTTGTGCCTCTTGGGTTTGACATTGGCCGTTTTACGCCAGCATCCTGCTACGTCGCTGCACGGGACGCAGCCTGATCCGGGGCCCCGCTCTCCCCTGTGTGCCCAGCTGGCTCCCGGCTCCTTCCTCCCACCCCCTTTGGGGGGCTGCACAGCCCACGCTGACGGCCCCTTGGGGTATCCCCTGCGCCTGCTCCCCACCCCCTTCCTCTCCCTCTGCCCTGCGGCCCAGCTGCTCTGGTTTTTCGTGGAGCCGGCCGTGACGCTCTGCTAGTTATACAGAGCCACAGTGGGAGGGAGGGAGGGACGGGTCGTTGCTCCGGCCTCCGTTGAAGAGCTCAGCCCTGCCGTTCCCAGTGCATGTTGGGATTTGCTCGCTCACTGCCCCCCCTCTCTCCAAGGCCCCCAACTGGCTGCCGCTGAGCATGTTCCCGGCCCCCAAGTCGCTCCACGAGGGGGCAGCCGTCGGCCGCTGCCTGGATCTCACCATCGAGCAGGTGCAGCAGGTGAGGCAGGAGAACCGCTGGGGCGCTGGGCGGGCTGACCGCAGCACGGAGCTGAGCTGCGGGTGGAAGTGAGAGGCTGGCCGGGATTGCAGCGGGCTGCGGGGGGCGGCCAGCCAGCGAGAGACGCCGAGCCGGGCTGAGCCAGGCTCTGTGGGTGCACACGCCCGTTCTGGGGTGACGGGAGCTCATTGGTCTGCAGCTTTTGGGAGCCCTGCCCCCGTAAGCAGTGGGGTCTGCTACCCAACCATCTCCCCACACAGGCCTCTCCGGGGCTTTCTGATCCTCCTACTGTGTCCCTTGATTCTACGCTGGTAAATCCTGCTCCCTGCTACGTCCAGGCTGGCTGCGGTGCAGTGAGGCTGCCAGGAGATGGACAGACGAGTGCTGCCGACCCTGCCCTGCCGGAGCCCCCTGCCTACCCTCCAGTCCAGGTCACCCACGCCAAGCTCTCCCCCTCCAGCTCCTCGTACGTCTCCTCCATCAGCTCCGAGCTCGAGGTAGGTGGCTACCACCGGTCGTTTGCACTGGATCCTGCGCTAACCCCAGCCTCTTGCCTTGAACTCGGCCCGCGCTGCCTTCACTGGTGTGCGGTGCACAGAGCCGCTGGCCCCAGGCCAGGGACCGTCCCACCCAGGTGTGTGTGTGGCAGTGAGAGCGCTCCCAGTGCAGGCCGGGTCCCCAGAGCCGGGCTAATTGCCACGGGATAGGTCCAGTCACAAGAAGCCAGCTCCCCAGATAACCAGATATCCCCCCACCCACACACACACACACACACACAGATGCCCCCTCCAGGGCTGCGGGAGGGCCCGTCTCCATCTCTGCCTCACTGACTGCCGTGGGGCGGGCCGGAGGGCCAGGGCAGTTCCCACTCAGGCAAAGCGCCACTTGCCATTAGCAGAAGCTAGCGGGGCTGATTGTAGACTGAAGACTGAAACGGAGCTCAGCACGTAGCCCCTGCGTTCTGCGTCGTAGGCAGGGCTGGGTGTGTCGCCCCGTATTAAACTCGACCTCATCTCCCTGGTTTCAGTTGCTTCAACCTTTGCCAAACTGTCACTGTCTGAGCTGAAAGTCCCAGGCTGGGGGCTGCCTCAGGCTGAATTGTATTTTGAAGATTTCACCCAAGATGGTTCGGCTGGTTCCAGGAACGAGGCTGGGAAATACGTTGTTTGGGCCAGGTTAAAAACTCGGCCGACTTTTCTTTCAAAAGTTCTCACTGACGCGCAGTTCTGGGGCAATGCCAGCGCCTCCCAGGCCTGCTTTGCTCCTCCCCAGGAGGAGATTTCTGCATCGGCTCATTGCTGCTGCTGTCACACTGCGCGACGTGTCATAGAAACTCTGCAAAGCCTGTCACGGTTGTTGGGGCGATTCCTGTCCTGAGCGACGTGCCTGCAGCTCGCCCTGGAGCAGTGCCGTCCCTCCGAAGGTAGAATTCAGCCCACAGTGGTGTGATCCCAAGAGCTGGACAACCCATGTGCACGAGGGAGGGCGGGGAGCAAATAGTGGACTATTACCATTCCGTTCCAGAACATAAATGGGAATGCTCAGCGTTCCTGTGCCATTGTTACAACCCGCCAGCACCCTGGGCTCTGGGCCTCTCCCCTCCTGTGGAAACGGGGCAGTGTATGCTCCTTGAGAGACGGGCCGACGCATGGCCCACTGCCCTTACTGCCCCTCAGCCTGACAGAACGGAGAGTGCAGAAAACCTCTGCCAGCACTACCCCCCCCGGGTTCCCCGGCCTGGGGCTCAGAGATTCCTGTCTGAGGCTGGCGTTTCTTACCATGTCCCTGGCGTTTCAGCAGGCATCTCTGGGGGAACAAAGGGGTTTATGGCAGGAGATTACAGCAGGTCAAATCCCCTTCTGCCTGAGCTAGCACTTGCCTTGCACAATTACCATATGGAGGGGGACGAACAAAAACACATTTTGATTCTATAAAGTTTGTTTTGTTTCGTTTCTGTTTTTTTTTTAAACACCTGCACCTGATAACTGGTTCCAGTAGGAGTGCACTGCACACTAGAAAGAATCTCTTTGGATGATTGGGGCGAGGTGGCTGGTTTGCACTCCATTTCCATAGGCTGAACGCGGTTTGACAGTCACTCCGAGTTTGAAAATAACAAGATGATTGAGCTCAAAGCAGCTGAAATACCCTTGGCGGGTAGGGGGCAGTATTTCCAAGTACAGCCCGGAGCAGCCCCAACTGGCACATGTGGCTAGTTGGCAGACCCAGGCAGCCTTCGCTGGCGTTCTGGGCCCTTGCAGATCCCACGCCAATGGCTCCTGTGTTTGTTTGGACAGACTGGATTGTGTTTCTGTGACAGAGTCTCACACACCTTGTGAAATCATGTTTTCCTTGCAGTCGTTCTTCCCCCCCCGGCTCACTTTGCACACTCGCTCGCCCGCTCTCTCCGGCTGTTTTGAAAATAAGAACTCCCCGTATTTCTCTGCTCACTACAGCTGTCCTGCTCTCGAAAGCTGCTTGTGAATGCTCCCACGTGGCCATCTCCACCTTGGCTAGGTACCAGAGCGAGGCGTCAAGAGAAGGGGGCTGGGCTGGGCTGCTCGGTGATGGCTGCTCTAGACCAACTCTTTTCTTGATCTTTGTTTTTCTTCTGCAGCAAAAGTACTGGGAGGCCTTAAACTCAGAACAGGTCTGGCGAACTGTCACTTTGCTTTGCGCCGGGCCCACGACCAGCATTCCAGGGACACCCATGTCTGCCAAGCGGCTTTCACTTTAAATCCGTGAAGCATTACAACTGAAGTCTGTCTTGGGTTAGATGCATGAGACATCACAAGCCCCAGAAAGAGGCCAGATTGCAGGGCAGGAAACAATCACTCATGAATTGAAGAAACATAACGTGCTTGCTTCGTCCTTCGTGCAGTCCCGGGGAGAGGCTCTGCTCCCAGGCCCGCTGGTGGGACTCCCCTGACCCTTAGCAGAGCTACTCCGGATTACACTGGGGCACAGGAGTAGAGTCTCCCCCATGATCTCCAGCCCAGGGTCGTTTTTAGGTCACAGAACTAGTTGAGGTCAAAGAGGAGAGAAGTCGTCTAATCTCCCCTGAAGGAAGTTACCCCACCTCCAAACTGGCTTTCACTGGCTGGAGATAAAGTAACAATGATGATAAACTCCACGCAGCCCTGGACTCCAGAAAGCCGTGTCCCCTGGGCTGGCACACATCAGCCATGTGGCACCGCAGCCAGCGCTGGGTTCGTCTTGTGGCTTCGCAGTTTTATAGCGTCTCCTGTGGGGCAGAGGGAAGAAATTCTGCCGATCCGTTCCTGGGACGGAGATGGCTCAGGGGCTGGGGAGGAGAGGCACGTAGTGCTGGGAGCGGCTTGTGTGAGTCGCTTGGTCTCAGTCCCGTCCATCCACTCTCACAGCTGGCGGAGAGGTCAAGCAGGGCTCGCGCTGTCCGTCCCCCCGAGAGGTGCCCCTCCAGGACAGATCTGGGGGCGCAGGCAATGTGGAATGAGCTTCTGTCCCCTGCTGGTATGCAGCGTGGGCAGGCAGATGCCCCCTCACAATGAACAGAGGCAGAAAGGGAGTTCACACTGGCCTGTGGGATCCCAGGTACCATATGTGCCACAATGAGCCATAGGAGATGTGGGTGGAGCTGGGGACTGAATATCACCACTTTTCTCCCTGCTCTGCCCTCTGAGGGTGATCCCTGCTGCATTGTGGGAAGTTATGTGGGTCCGCAGTGCGGTGACTGACCTGGGTGTGTGGGTTGTTAGTGCTACCCCCGAATCGAGTTGCTCTGCCTGAGTGCTGGAGGAGTTTGTATGTGTCACTAAAGCACCAGGAGGGCTCAGTACACCTGGGCCGTTGTTCCACGAGCCCCGTTCGGGGGGCTGCAAGTCAGGGCGGGCATGAATTGGCATCTCGTGCCGTCACACAGCATTGCCTCAAGCCCTTTCTGAAGCAATGGCTTTAAATGATGGACTTCAATCCATCAGCTGTGTGATTCTGTAGATCCACTGGCTAGTTATATGGGGGGCTAAAGAGGTAAATACTGCCTGGAATCCAATGGGCCTCGTTCTGCACGGCTGTGGGTACAATGCAGAAAACGTTCCTGACTCCAGAATGGCTGAAAGCCCTTCTGCTGATGTCTGCAGATATTTCCGAGGTCCGTGGTACAGAGCTGGAGCTGTGTTTACCAGTCAGGTGGCCTGCCTGTGTGGCACGAGTGTCCCCTGATTACCTCCCAGGTGGGGAACAGCTGTTCTGGACCGCTCGCTCTCGTTATCTCTTGACAGTAGGTTAGGTTCAAAGTGACAAACTGTTACTCCTCAGGGGCTGAGTGCTGCTCGGGAGAGAGCGCCGGCCGGCCGAGTATTTCTGGCAATGACCCGCAGACAGTGCAGTGAGCCTCACACCGACCTCTTCTCAACAGCAACATCCATCCCTGGAAGTGGAAGTTGGCTGAGGCTTCTCGGGTCAGCAGCCCTTGATAGTCCCCTTGGTGGAGATCAGTCTCTGGTTATTAACTGAGCAGTAATGGCCAGAGCTGGTTAGAAAACCACCCAGAGTTTCTGGAGAGTTTTCACCCTGCTGGGATCCGACAGGCGGCTTTTCCTTTCATTCCGCATTTTTTCAGGAAAATTTTTATTTGATTTCAAAAATGTTTTTTCTCAGTTTGTTTCCCCTTTTCCCTCCGTTTTTTTCCATTTTCCCACTTCCAGTGGGAGGGGGAAGGAGAAAAGGAGGGAATGAAAAACCTACCCCAAAAAGGTTTCCATGTGGAGTTTTGTTGAAAATTTTTAAAAAAATGAGAATTTTGTGACAATTTCTATTTTCAGATAAAGTTTGAATTCAGGTGTTTTTTCCCCCTGTAAAACCGGCCTGAGCAGCTCCTGTGTGGCCAGTCTGCATCCAGTGGAGAGCAGTCCCCACTTCTGTAGGAGCTCCGGTGCTACAGACCTGCCTTGTCCCTGTAACCCGAAACCCTTTCTCTTCGCAGTGGGACTTCGAAGGCATGAATCTGCAGTGGAACAGAAACGGTACCGAGGCGCCAGACATCCAGCCCGGCGGCAGCTCGCTGCCGGCTTCGGGTTTGACGTGAACGCCCTCAAACAAGCCGCAGCTGCGCTGAGACTGTGTGATAATGACGCCCCCGGGGCAGAGAAATCATAGCAGGTAACAAAAAAACAGCAGAAGAAAGATCCTCTGTGGAAGATCCCTGGCAGGTCCAGGTTACAGCAGTACTGTGGGCCAGATCCGGGGATGCGGCTGGTTTGCACAGGGCAGGGAGTAGATGCAAATGTAGCTCAAATCTCACCGATGTACTTCCCTGATCCTGCTGCAGCTTTGGGCAGGGCGGCTTCTTCTGCACTGGGCTGGAGCAACCTGAAGGCCACGCAAACAAACCCTGTCTGCAAACAGCCCAAGGAGCTGAAAACACAGCTGGGGCTCGGCGTGTCTCTGGCCACACGCCTGTTCCCTGCGGCACTCGCAGGGGCGGTGGGGAATGGCAGAAGAGCCCCATGGTCAGCGTTCCTTTGCCAGAGACTCACCGTGACGCTGGGGCAGCCCACCCCAGGCCCTGTTCAAATGGGGGGGCTTACAGTGACTGCACCTCACCAGGGATGCTGCAGTGTCTGCACTAATCAGGGCTGAACCGCGCCCATTGCCCAGTGAGAATAACTGACCTCTGGGGGATCGGAGGGCGTGGGGGCAGTTTCCCGCCCTGGCACCGTTGGGTTGGCCGTAGCCCATCGATCAGGGTTTCCAGCCCTGCTCCCCGAGCTGCAGGGAGGGGCTCACAAGCACCCCCGCTGTGGCTGTGCGCTTCCTCTGAGCCGGGCCCCGTCGGTGCCGGAGGGGGATGTGCCCTGACAGGTCAGTAACAGGAGCACGTCCATCTCCCTGGCCGGAGTTGGGACTTCAGAGCTGCCAGTCCCAGGACAGATTCAGAGGAGAAATAACGCGCTGCTGTTTGACCGCAAGGGAACTGAGCAGCGTCACAGAGCTTCTCCATTACTTCCAGAGCAGGTTTCTGGCAGATCTGCTCTGGTTCAGCCCCACGATGTGAACTGACAGTGGGGAGTCGTACAGCCTGTGCTGGGCGTCTGTGTGGGGCTCCTCAAACAGCTGCTTCGGACTCAGCAGCCAGCGCTGGCTGGCGTGAGCAGGGGAAGCACAGGCCGCTGGTTCTGCATCACTTCCGCTAACAGTGTAGGTGGCCCCCACGCCTCCCGTTATCTGCTTGTAACTGGCCGGATTCTGACCAGACCTTGCCGACACACACCAGGGTTTGCTGGCCAGGCAGAGCGAGGCTGGCTCGCACCAGCTCCTGGCATGGGGAAGCTCTGCTGTTCCTGAGTTACCTGCATGAGGGCGGTTGCTGCCCCAGCTGTGGGGAGCAAGGGTGGGGTCACACTCCCACTACCACTACCACAGCTGTGCTGGCCTTCGGCCTGGGCAGGGCCCTTGGAAAGAGCTGCAGGGCAAAGCAGGTTTGGAATCCCCGTTTCCTTGGCCAGTCCAGGTGCTCTGTCACCTCGGGGCCCCCCCGCGTGCTCTGGGCACTGGTATCACAGTGCCCCCATACGCAGATCACTGGTGTCTGAAACTGCTCGGTCGAGCCGCAAGCCCCCCTTCGTCTGCACCTTTTCGAGCTGCTCCTTCTAGCGCAGAGACGCTGCTGGGAGTGAGACGCAGCGGGCCGCCGGGATGCGCCCCAGGAGAGCTGCGAGGGCTGAACGTTGGGGGGGGGGGGGCGCTGTTGTGACCCGAGAGGATGGTGTGAAAAGCTGGCAGCAGCGGCTGTGTGGGCTGCATGCGGCGAGGCGGGGGTGCAGCTGGGAGATGTCAGGTCCCGCACTGCAGCAAACAGCAGGATGGTGCGTCCCGCCCTGCGTGAACGTGGAGCCGGCTCTGCCTGAGGGAAGGGGCACTGGGGCAGAGGGGTAATGCTGGGCTCGCTTTGGCTGGAGGGAGCAGGCCCAGGCAGGTGTGGGTGGGAAAGGCTTTCCTTTTCTGTTATGCTATTGGGTCTTAGAGCAGCACCTATAGCCCCCTATAGATTGATCTCCTATAGACTGTTCCGGGGGAGGGGTCACAGGCTCCCTTTGTCACATTGCGGTGGGAGATTGCAATCCCCTGACCGTGTGCCCTGGCTGTTCTACCCCTTCTGCTCCCCAGAGTCCCTCGCAGCTCCGCTCCGTTCCCCTGGCAAAGCTGGAACCCCTCCGCTCTGCGCCGCCAGCCGTGCCCAGAGCCAGGCTTGGGGCTTGTTGAACACTAGGCCCGATGAGCTACAGCAAACGGGAGGGCGGCCTTGCGGTGCATTCCTAGGACACTGAGCTGCCCTCCCTCTCTGGCTCCACTCGCCTCACCCCTGGCTTCTGGGAACGCAGCACAGGCGAGAAGACGACATCTGACGAGAGCGTCTGGCATTTTGTCGCTCCCAATCTGATCTCGCAGCCCTCAGCCTGCCTGGCGCTGCCCCCTCCAGGTAGATGACCCATCTGGCAGCTGCCTAGGGCAGCGAACGTACAGCGATTGTTCAGGGAGCGAGCGACTGTGACCTGCGCTGGGTCAGACGCTCCCTTGGCCCAGAACAGCAAAACATTCCCGAGCCGGCGCTGATAAGAAACCTCCACATTAATATTTCTAACGGCTGGAGATTAATTGCCTGGTAGTAAAGCTCAGAAATCCAGACAATGCAAAGACTGGAAAGCCAGGGGAAAGGAAATTCTTCTGCTGTATTGCCTTTTCCTATTCAGATAATGCACAATAAAATATGAGCGTGCAAGTCAGCGCCGGGGGAGGGCTGCTTCAGTCGTGTCCAAAGCAGTACCACTTGCAGATATGCCAGGAGAAACCCTAGAGCAAGTGCTCTCACATGTTGTGCAAGGGGGCAGACGGGCTCTGCTGCCTTCAGGGGGGTATGTAGTGAGCAGTCATATTCATGATACTTTACACGTCCCTGGTGTCTTCTCACCGAGAATCTCAAAGCCCCAGGCACCTGTGAACTGCTTGTGCTGCAGAACACCGAGGACATGGGCAGGTCTTTGGACCAGGGGGAGATGGGCAGAGAAGTGGCTTGGAAGACTCAGGCAGCCAGTCTGGCAGAGCCCAGATCCCGTGTTGCAGACACGTATCCTGTTACCATGCGGCCAACAGCTCATACACGATGGGGACAGGGAAGGGGAGATAGTGAATGGATGTTTGACAACAGCAAGTGGGTCACGACGCCCTGTGGGGCAAATCCTGCTCCCACGAGTAATCCTGCTGGCCTTCCGGGGATCCCTTCCCTGGCCTAGCAGTGCTGTGCCCTGGGGGCAGACGCGGTGACAGTGAAGTGTGTTCATGTGCCCTAGGGTGACCAGATGTCCTGATTTTATAGGGACAGTCCTGAGATTTGGGGCTTTTTCTTATATAGGTGCCTATCGCTCCCCACCCCCTGTCCTGATTTTTCACACTTGCTGTCTGGTCACCCTAATGTGCCCTGCTGGCCTCCAGTGATTGTGTGCGTGATGGATCTGGCGTTCTCTAGGCCTCAGAGGACACCTTTCCCCTCCCTCCCCAGCCGCTCTGCCGCATGGAACAATGGGAGCCTGGCATTGCTGGGCCCTGGATGGGAATAGCTGGGCTTAGGCGGGCCTAGGGAGGAGCTGGATTTTCAGGGTGGGGAGGGGGGTTTGCACGTCTGCTCACGTTTTGCCGTTTCACCGATTCATGGAGTTTAAGGCCAGAAGGGACCATTAGATCACCCAGTCTGGCCTCCTGCATCACACATGTTGCCCGTTACCCCCGTGTTGGTCCCAGCAACTTGGGTTTGGCTCCAGCATCTCTGAGCCAGTGCGTTCAGGTGCATCGGAGTCTGCCTCCATCACGCAATGCAAGGAGAGCTGGTTCTCCTCTGCTGGCCCCCCTGCAATCTGCTGACTCCAGGGTGCAAACCAGGGTAGCACTTGGTTGAAAATCTGCAAGCAGAGTAGGTGTATGAGAACAAGGGGTCAAAAAGTGTTTGCCCTTCCACAGACCTTTACTATAAAACTGAGTAAAGACTGGCTGTGATATCGAGGGGAGAGGCACTATGGGACCTTGAAGGGTCAGGCTGGGCAGGGAGTGGGGCTGCAAGATTTTCTTTAAAAAGAAGAACAGGAGTACTTGTGGCACCTTAGAGACTAACAGATTTATTAGAGCATAAGCTTTCGTGGACTACAGCCCACTTCTTCGGATGCATTGGGCTGTAGTCCACGAAAG